CCCAGCACCACACCCGCCCTGGTGTTCATCCCATTTCCTAACCTAACCTAACAAGGCAGCAAGTCCCAGCAGGACACGGCATTCCCCAGCACCGGCTCCATACTCAATGTCCAAAGTATCCCAAACACGGGCTGCAGAGGGCACCGAGGACGGGTCCAGGGTCTGTCTGCTGCCACTGGGACCAGAGCAGCCGTGCCAGGGGAAGCCTCATCCAGCTGCAGCACAGGGGAGACGAGTCTGAAGAACGTTTGCAAATCCCAAGAGAACAAAACTGGGGACACAGAGGAGCGAAACCATCCATCAAACAAGACGGCGGGAGAGGACAGCGGCCAGGGAGCGACCCAGTCATGTCCGGAGCTATTTCCGACAGGTCCGGTGTGGTGTCTGCTTCTTCTGCACCTCCAGCCGGCAGCGACTGCGCTCATCCAGCCAGGGCAGCTCGAAGTTCCTGGGGGAAGAGGCAAAGCCATTCCAGTACCTTCCCACTGGGTACCAGTATGAGCAGCCCCATTCCTCCCACCACCAGGGACCACGGTACTCACTGTGGGGTCAGTTTTGGTAAGGGCCGGCCAAAGGCGACAACAGGCAGGTACGGGGTTATAAGCAAGCTTTCCACTGTGGGAGACACCAGAGTGTTATGGACCCCCCCTACCTGTACCGTAACTCCTCCCTGCCTACACCCCACTGCCATGGACACTCACCATCATCTGGCTCAGGGAAAAATGAGGTAACTTCAGGTTCCGACTCCTGAATCCCTTTCCTTTTGTACATTCGGAGCTGCAGCCGCTGTAGAATTCTCTGTTCCCTGATCCGCTGGATGTCCCACCTGGAAAACAGGATGCCCCTGGGCAGTGAGCAACTGCAGGCATTAAGCAGGCAGATGCCTTGACAGCACCAGATCCTCCCAGGAAGCTCAGGGGGCTGTGCCAGCTGCCGCCATGCTGGCACATCCCTCCTCTGGCAGCATTCCTGGTTCCCATCCCCGCTGCAGCCCAGTATTGCCACCCTACTCTTGGGGACACCCTAGGTCCCCTCCCAGTGGAAGTGGGTGCAGAGCATCCACTGTGCCGGGGACCCCCAGTCCCACATCTCCCTCTTTGCTCCCACCTTTTCCTTCGTTTCTCATCCAGCTCCAACTTTGCATGACGCTTGGAAAAGACGCTGTCATCCAGGTTCTGCAATGACAGATGAGGATGAGCGCGTCCTCCCGGCACCAGATCCAAGTCCCACAGCCCTGGCACAGCCCTGGCACAGCCCTGAGCCACTGCAGCAGAGGAGGCTGGTTCTTCACCCCCACCCCAGCCCAACCACTGCAGACAGGGTTTATGCTGGATGAGATGCCACCAGCCCTAAAGTGAACACTGTGAGCTGCTCTCCTGGAGCAGGAAGGCTCCAGGTACAGGAAGGTTGTACGTACCTCCAGGATGTCTGAGGGGTTGGGGTCTCTCAGGGGCTCCACAACATGGTCCCTCCAAGATGGAACTGCAGGATGAGAGGCCAAGTGTTACCTCCACACTGGCACCCCGACAGTCCATGCTTCAGCCTCATCCCACACCTCGCTGCTCCTTTCCAGCCCATCCATCCCTTGGAGCACAGCTTGCCCCCCCACTCCCCACCCCCAATGCCATCCTGAGCCTGGCCAGGCAATGCTGCTGGTTGAGGGGTAGGGAGAGTTCATCACCATGCCCCCAGCCAAGCGCACAAGCAAACCTGAGCTGCTCCGAGAGGAGATGTGCCGGAGCGCTGCCCATCGCCGGGAATCACCACGCTGCAGGACCCAAGGAGACCAGCTGGGAAGGGGCGGCCAACAGGACAGGCACCGGATTTGGGGGCAGCAGGCGACCCCACGCTATGCCATGGTGGCACAAACCAGAAACACGTTTCCCAACCACAAATGGGAAGTTGCTTCACCCCTCGCTCAAACAGGTGCACCAGAGCAGAATGGGGCCAGTAGCCCTGCCCAGTACGGTGCCTTGGTCTGGGAGAGCCCAGCACCGGAAACAGAGCTGCTCCTCAGCACCATGGGAGGAACCAGCAGCACCACACAACCAGCTGCACCTCTCCAACTGCTATGTGGGGCTTTACCCTTTGCCAGCTTCAGGGTGAGGGTGCTGAACCCCATTCCCCAGCACCCCGAGGTGGGTGAGCCCATGTCTGGCCGCCGGCTCTGCCCCAAGGCCCAGCACATGCCACGGTGCTGCTCTCCATCATCTCTCCATTGCTTACTTGCCACAGTCTCCTCCTTCTTTGGGGAGGGCTCCCGCAACGGCAGTGGCGATGGTGGCGGCTGGTGCCAGCGGCACAAGTACATCTCCGTGGTGGAGAGATACGGCAGGTCGTCTGCCTCGCTGCTGAAGAAGCTCTTCTCCTTGGGGTTGGCACCAGGGCCCTTTGGCAGGGCTGAGGCTCGGAGTGGGGTCTCCAAGAGCGACCTGGGTTTTTCTGGAGTCTCTTGGCTCCGCAGTTCTCGTTTACAAACAGTTTCTGACAAGGAGCCGCCCAATTCCTCCTTCCCCGGGGAGTGCTTTGGAGTTTTACTCTTCACTTTGGAGAACTCAGACACCAGTTTTTTAACGGGCGTCTTCCTCTCCGTGCTCCCAAATGTTGGCTTCCTGTAGGAGGAAGAAGAGCTGAGCCGGGCTCATGGATCCTCATCCTGTGCTGGGGCTGCCAAGGCAGGGGGTACCAGCACCCCCAAACCAGGGCTGTGTACTAGGGCTGCCTGAAGGCAGGTTTCTCAAGGTGAGAGGGGCTTCCACAGCATTTTGGGGTCCCCCCACCCAGGCCTTCATGAGGTTCCCTCTATCCAGTGCTCAATGGGATGCGCTCCCTGTACCAAACAGCCTCCCTGAGTAGTTCAGAGGGCACTGGGGATGAGTTGGTACCTCCATATCCTGGGTAGCACCAGCCCCACAGATGGAGGGTGAAGCCATGGGGAAGGTCCCCTACTCTCCCCCCAGAACCCCCCAGCCACCCTGTACCTTTTATGCCCCTTCCCGTTGCGGCCATAGGGGAAGTGTTTGGGCTGAAGGGTCGGGGGGTGCTCCAGCAGATCCTGGGGACATTCCAGGGGCAGCTTCTCGCACGCTTCTGCCTCTGGCTTCTCGTCCACCTCAAAGCCCTGGAAGATGCGGTGCTTCTCCCGCTCGCTGTCCTTCTTCACCAGCTGCACCCGCCTTTCCATGCGCTCGATGCGCGCAAGGAGCTGCAACACAGGCCGAGGGTGAACCCAAGGTGCACCCCTGCTCTACAGGCAGCTGCCTGCATGGTGCCCTGCCTGCACATCCCTTTGGAGGTGAGGAAACACCCTGGGGAAGAGCTGACCCTGCAGTGCTCTGGCATAGGGCTGGGGTATGCAGAGGACCAGTGCCACCCTGCAGCAAACTGTGCCCATTCTGGCATTTACCTGGCAACTCCTTGGAAAGGCTCAGAGTGCAGGAGCCCACAGACAGTGCTTGAGCCATCCCCGCTTGGGCTCAGCTGGCACCACAAGCTCCCAGGGGATGCCACAGCTCACGCCGTGCAGGACAGGAGGCTGCAGCCAGCACTGGGTGCTGCAGGCATCGCACCCCTGGACAGTTCAGCTGTGATGCAGGCAGGGACCAAGATGTCCAAACAGCAAAAAATGCCCACTAGCTTCTCCCCATTGGTGTTGCCCATCCCCATGGATGCAGACCCCATATTTTATGGAATTTGGGGGTCTCAACATCTGCTGCACTCTCCCCAGGAGGGAAAGGGTTGTTTGTAATTGGATGTCGGCTTCAGTAGCACTCATTTTGGTGACATCTCGGTCACCCATCCCTAACCCTGCAAAGCGCAGTCGTGGGGTCCTGGCACCCCCAAGAGATTTGGCTGTGGGGCAGGGGGAGCCTGGAGCACTCGGGATTTGCCAACCCCATCTCCCTGCATTGGCTGCACCACGGTGAATCCCCACCAGGGCCTCCAGTGTCAGACTCCGGTAGCACCACGTGGGGCAAAAAAAAGTGGCGAGTGTGGTTTCCCAACACATGGCATGTGGGGATGCAGCTGCACCGTGGGGTGCAGTGCGGCAGGGCATATGGGGGGCACCATGCAGCATCCATGGGGTGATGCAGGCATGGGGGCTGGCCAGGCAGTGGGGCACATGTAGCCAGGCAGCACACCCCACAGACTGTATCGCCACGAGTGGGACAAAGC